TGGTGCCCACTCACCAGCTGCTGGGCCCTAGACTTGGCTCCCGAAGGCCTGAAGCTGCACCCCTGCCCCTGCCACAGGTCAGAGCTCCATATCATGACATTTTTGCTGTGGCATCTCTCAGTCGTTGTCAAATTGACACTTGTTTTGCAAAGAGGGCCAAAGTTTTATGAGCCTGTTAGCCAGTGTGAAATTATACTAGGTTGTACACCTTTCTTTAAAACCATACCTAGTGGTTTCTTTCATTATTCGTGATGTTTAAAAATAATAACCCAGTAGAATAAAATGAAAACATTGCCTGTCAGATGATAACTGCTTTTCAATCTCACTGCACAGACTGTGTCATAGAGGAGCAGACCAGATACCCTCATAGCATGTTGTTAGGCTTCCTTTCCCCACGAAAGTGAAGGAATTTGGCTGCAACAGCTGTGGAGTGGCTGCATGTCTCACTGGGTGAGAGGTCTGGTGAGTCATGGATCGAATTCATAGAACGAGTAGCTTCAGGCTGATGGCATCTAGTTCGTGAAAGCTTCCCCACTGACAGTTGGCAGGGCTTTGCCAGTGTAGCTTCTGGCCCCTGGTGCTTCCTGCTCCTCAGCAGGGAAGAGCGGTGATGATGCCTGCCATGGCTGCCTGCTGCCCTCCTAATGCTTCACCTTGGGGGGCTTCATCTCTCAGGACTCAGGGGCCAAGTTCGCCTCAAGGACCAAGATCCCAGTGTCCTTCAAGGAGAATGTCAGAAAACAAGGCTTCTGAGGAGAACCTGGCCCTTGTGTGCTGTCTGAGCTCTGATTTCCAGGAGGTGTTTGCACTCCAGTGTGGTTAGCCTGTCACACAGGTGGGGATGCCTGACTGCGCCCCCTGAGGCTGTTCCTCAGCTTATGCCGCCCAGGCTAGGACTCAGGCCACCCACCATGGGTGGTCGGGAGCTCTGTTGTCATCTCACAGGGCCCTTCTAGAGGTTATGAGACTAAACCTATAGTGGACAGTGCCTGCGAGGGCATCAGTCCCGTCCTCCGCTGGTTCCCATACCACGTGAGTGAAACACGCATGTTCCTAACCAGGCCTGAGCCACTGTCTCCACCATGAGTTTATGCCTTCCTGCCTCCTTCTTCTGTGTTACAGTTACCTAAATTTCTCTCTCTTTTTTTACAGGTGCTCCTTCTTTCCTCTGGTTTGTCTGATATTGGGCACATCCAGCTAAGTTTTGATACAATAGTTTTATATCTGTGTTCAGCCAAGTGCCCAAATGTGCTCATCTCTGTTGAGGCTTCGTACCCCCGGGCCCAGCTCTGTCTCTGGCAATGGCCTCAGAATCTTCCTCCACCACCCAGACAGGTGTCACTGTCCCCTCTGGCTGTGCGTTCTCACACCCTGGGACTGAAGGTCCTAGCAGAACAGTGCCCAGGGTCAGTGGTGTGGTGACCTGGGCAGGAGTGAAAAGGTCTTGCTGAAAACCTGAAGAAAAGAAAACTTATGGAATACTGTGACATTTTAGCCTTTCTCTGAGTGAGTGCAAGTTCGTCTGAGGACAGAGCCTCAGTGGATGGTCTGAGTTTCCTGGGCTGCTGTGACAAAGGATCACAAATTTGGTGGCTTAAAACAGCAGAAATGTAGTCTTTCACAGTTCTACAGGACACAGATCCAAAATCAGTCCCACTGGATCAAAGTCCAGGTGTCAGTTTACAGGGACTGGGCTGGGGATATATCTTTCTGTAGGACACCATTCAGCCTACCAGGGACTCTGGGGTTTATAGCATCTTCAAAGGTCAAGTGTCTGTTTTCTGTTTGTGGCTTTGCCTGGTGAGTGTTGGTGTGGCACCACAACTTGGGTGTATTACTTTGTTTTCTGTGTTGTTTGCTGTTATAGTTAGAAGTCTAAATGGGAACAAATCAGTGTATTTTGATCTTGCTTTTCCTTTTCAGTTTGTATGAATTGAAACTCAAGTAGGGCAGGAAAAGAAATTATAAAGTAGCTGATTTAACCTCAGCCACTGGAATTCACTAATAATAGGAGCCTGTTAAGTTCAAGGCGGTTATCCTTGTTCTGCCTTTGTGCTTAGTACACTTGACCTTCTCCTCTGAGCCAGTCAGTTTTAGAGAGGTTGTCATCTGTAGGTCTCTCTGCGCGCTGGTCGTGAGAGAATGAGGCAAATACATGGCAATTGGATTGCCACCAGGACCTAAGTGTTCCTCAGAAAGAGGGACCGATACCTCACTAGCTATCCTTCTTTTGCTTAGAACTGTTAAAGACAGAAGTGAGTAGAAAATGGATGGCTGTGTGTCTGACAGATACTTCACACAGAAGAGATTTATATTGCTTGAGAACCAAAAAACCAAAAAGAACTATGAAGCTGGAAAATTAGATATTGAAGTTACCTAATTTGAAAAATTAAATTAAACCAGGAGTTGCATATATAGCATGAAAAGTTGAATACATATTTTATTTTTGATTTTTTAATAATAAAGTTCTATATTTTGCAGGTAATAACTTTAAAAAAGTTGTCTAGATATTGTTGAGTCCTTATAGTTTTTTTAGTGATTAGTTTTCCTAATGCATTTATAGTAATTTTACTTTAAAAAAAGCAATAGATTTCTAATAATATTTTCCTTGATACACTGTAGTTGCTCGTACCATTTTGTAACCTGTCATTCAGCTGGCTGGACAGGGAAGGGGCCAACATTGTTTTTGTATTTGACAAATGTTGGGAGTGTGGCCTAGAGTCTTATGCTTCCATTTCTAACGTTTCTGATTCTTTGCGGCTAATTCCAGGATGTGGGAGTTTTCTCACTGAATTGCTAGGGACCACCCCTGTGATGGGGTGTGAATGTGGCAGTATCCTGACCCTGATCTAGAATTCAAGGGAGGTAAAGGGCTCTGCTGAAGTGGGTGGTTCGAGGTCCAGTTACGATGGTAAGAGAGATGAATTCAAAGCTAGATGCCTGTGCTACATTTTCTCCTGTATGGGTATAAAGGATCTAACAGTACAGGATGTCACCTGGCAAGAACAGTCTGGGAGTGACTGGCTTGGATGAAACTAGTACTCTTTTCTATGTTCAGATCCCACTCGTGCAGGAACTTGGCTGTGGTTTGGCCTAGTAGGCCAAGGGGCTGTCTGTGACAGAATTCCAGCCAGAGGCCTTGTGTGTGGAATCTGCCGGGACCAGAGTGCAGTCTTATCTGGGCAGTGGCAGTGGTGCGCTGCTCCACACTGGCATGTTCAGCCAAATAAGCGAGGTCCGTCGGAACCCTGGCTACCACCACTGGAATCTTGCCATCCTCCTTGTCTCCCGATGCAGCTCGAGTCAGTGGTTCTCCTGGAGGTTCCTTTCCTTGAGGATGATGCTCTCGATCCATCCCAGACAGGGCACGGGCTTCCATTCCTGGCCAAGAATGTGGTGTCCACTCCAGGAAGCAGCCTCCTGTGACCTTGGCTACAGGGTTCATGCACTTGGGTAGCAGCTCAGAGGGATGCCCTTGGCTCCTTAGTCGACCTCGGGAGTCCTAAGCCTGCCTGGTGATGGTGATGGGTCACCTCATTCTTCTGCCTTCCTCGCCCCTGAAGGGTGCAGCCATCCCTTAACCATGAGGAAAGCGTTTAGACATCTGTTCAGTACCAGCTCCCTTGCGATTGTTTCTCCTCGCTTGGGGCCAAGGCTGAGAGTCCTGGGAGGAAACAGGCTGGCCGGGCACCTTACCCTGGGCTGTCCAGTCCGTCCCGTCCAGTCTGTGCCCCACACGACTCACTGTAGTCAACGCGGCTGTGCTCTTGGGAGTGGAAAGAGCTCTTTCCTGGGCTTCTGGTCTTACCTGGTGTCGCCTGTATCCCGAGCCCATCCGACTGAGGATCAGCCCTCCTGGTGATATAAGTAGGCTCCATCCACCACGACAGCCTGCAGGATCTGCAGTGGGGGCCTTGTTCAGAGCTGCTTATGCCGAAGTCCTCTTCTACATGGTGGGAAACCAGGTCTCCTTGCCCAGGCTGGGTGGGACTTCAGTACCTTTATTCTTACTTCTTTTTAAATAAATGGATGAAAGTGGTAATTTTAGCTCCCTCTGCTGAGTCCATCTCTGAAGTGACTTTGTTTAAATGTGGTTGCCAACCCAAGGGTTTTCTTTTTTTATTTTTTGAGTAGAAGTCTCACTCTGTCACCCAGACTGAAATGCAATGGCATGCTTATGGCCACCGCAGCCTCGACCTGCTGATCCTTTCACCTCAGCCTTCCAAGTAGCTGGAACTACAGGCACACACCACCATGCCTATCTAATTTTTCTTGATGAGATGAGGTCTCACCAAGTTGCCCAGGCTGGGCTCAGGCAATCCTCTCACTTCTGCCTCCCAAAGTGCTGGGATTGTAGGCATGAACTATCGCACCCGACCCCAAGGATTTTCTCAGTGCCCTCATTCCCTCCATTTGGCCAGCCTCGGAGAAGGAAAAAGAAGGAACATGCCTAAAATTAGACCTGATGCATTTCCCAATTTCACATGAAGTTACATATAAGAAACACACTGTTTTAAGCTGAAACTTTGTGAAGTTTTGAGAAAAAAATGTGTGCTAATAACTCTACATTGATACATGTGCATTCTTAATTATTTTATAAAGCTCCTTGTAACTAATTCAGAGTGTCATTCTGACATTTTCGTAATGGACTTGAGTTGGTTGTTGGCAAGGTACTGAGTTTTTTACCAACCTGCTGAAAGATCCTTATGGGAATAGGGGAGTCATAACAACAGTGCTGGCCTTTATGGGATAGTCCATTGCTGTCTTGGGACAGCAGAGGTGGCTCATATGGATAGATGGGGTTCGGGGTAGTCTGGTGGGGCCTCAGAATGGGAGGCTGCTCTGTCTGCACTGGGGTTGCCATATCTCCTTCCTGCCTCAGTTCCTTCTTTTGTAGAATGGAACTGACGATCCCAGCCCCTTGCCACACTGAGTTGACTTCCCCTTGCCAGGTGACTTTTGTGATAACTCCTACACAATGTACTTTGTTTTAATTCTAGGCAGCTTCAGTCCCATCTCTGTCCAAGCTGGCGTGTATGCACATGCTCCGCTGGGCTGTTTGGAACCCCTTGCCGGAAGCCGGTTCCGGGAGGGTGACCCTGCCTCTGCAGGGTGGCATCCAGCCCAACCCTGCACACTGTCTGGTCTACAAGGTGCCCTCAGCCAGCATGAGCTCCAAAGAGGTAAATTGTGAGAAACATCTTAAGTATGATTCTTCTCCAGTGAGCTTCTAGCAAGTTCATTCATTTTCAAAGCCAGAAGTTGACAAATATGTTTGTAGATGTTTCCTGAACAGAATGCGTTTATGTCTTGGATATGCCCTTTAAAAGATGAGTGTAGTCTCTGAGTCATAGTCAGATGTAAGCCTGGCAAGGTTGGTTTTATTGTGCATCTTATCCCGGCTCACATGCTGATCTCCTGGGCTGACGTGGTGGTCCTGTGACTGATTTGCGCACACTTTGCAATGAGAGCCGCTTCTGTGTGCAAACTTGGGTGCATTGGAAGATGGGCCTCCTGTGACCTTTGCCAGTGAATTTTATAATGGGATGGGTGCCATGGTGGGAGCCGGGTGATCTGGCTTCCAGCCTGCTCATTGCTGTGACTTGTCACTAACTCCTGCTGAACCTCAGCTGTGTGTAGAGAGTTAGGACCACAGCAAAGAGTCTCAGGTTTTTAAAAGAACCTTTCTGAAGTGAAACATCCTCTGAACCCCAATTTAGAAAGCAAGTAAAAGTAGGTCGGGGTGGGTGGAAGTGTGTGTGTGAAGGATCTCGTCTCCTGCCCTTCTGACCCCATTGGTGGCCCATTGGGGTGGAGGGTTGTGAGTAGTGACCCAGGGCACCACTGACATGGTGGGAAGCCCCCACTCCGGCTGATGCTGGAGTCCACCCCGACAGGCCACGACGTGGCAGGGTTTCTGTTTGGTTCTTCTACTCACATACCTAAAATATGTCTGTTTCAGCAGCAAAATAGGAGCCTTTTAGTGTACAATTGTCTCATTTTTCTAAGGTAAAAGGACTGTTTGTGTTATTTCAGTGTGTCACCTCTGTGCTGACTCTAGCGACAAATATTATGTTGAGTGTTGTTATTTATGATTTGGATAATGCTTGGGGAGTCGAGTCAGGGAACAGCTGATTGTGCAGCTTTTCTTATGATGAGGGATGGCTCTCATTACAGGACCATATTTTGCTGCATTCCCACATGGTCTAGTTTGAGCCCTTATTATGAAATTGCCGTTAGAAATCCTGCAGCCCATTTCCATTTTCTTCTCGCCTCTCCCTTTCCTCTCTCTCCCCTCACCTCTTCCCTCCTCACTGCCATTTGGAAAGGTATACAAGTAATTATTTATTCTATTTACCTTTAAACTTACCATGTCATGACATTGCCTTCACTCTTCAAGTATGAAAGGTATATTCAGGCATGAGTGTTTTGAAGGTTTAACTGTCTTAAGGGCATAGATGTATTCAATACCGCCGTTTTCCACAGGACCACCACTTATAAATCAGGGTTTTTCAGTCTCAACACTATTGACATTTTGGTCAGATAATTCTTGGTGTGGGGCTGTCTTGCGCACTAGAGGATGTTTAGTGGTATCTCTGGCCTCTGTTCACTAGATGCCAGTAGCATACCCCAGCTGTGTCAGCTCAAAATGCCCACAGACATTCACTGCCAGATGTTTCTTGGGGGACAAAATTGTTCACAGTTGAGGACTGCTACTCCATACTGATATAATTAACTAAAACCGTGAACTAATGCTGGTCGCAAATTCGACTTGCTCCCCTGCACTATGGAAGCACTCCTGTTTCTGTGTTTCCTGCGTAGTAGTGCAGCACCTGTCAGGTCATGCCAGCTGGACATCTAGATGTGCCTCCTCTCTGCCCCTGCCCCAGCTATGTCATTATCTCATTCAGTCATTCATTCATCCAGCCAGTAAAAATTATACTCTAAGAAAAAATCCCTGGTGCCGTAATTGACAGTGAGTAGGAGTGGCAGATGTTAATCAAAGTAAAATAAAAATATAAAAATTCCATAATTTTTGGCTAAGTAGCTTTTAGGATTTATGTTGTTATGATCATTTCACTGTTACTTACTGTGAAATGAAGAAGTATGTCATGATTGTGTTTCAACTCCTGTCTTTTTGCTTAGAGAAAATAATTGTCTCTTTAAAAAAAAATTTATATCTCCAAAGGCAGCCACTCTGAACTCTTAGCTGTGACTTACGGTATTGACTTTTGTTGTCTAAATAATATGCTTCTGCTGTTGTTTCTTAATCTTCAACTTTACACACTATATACTGAGTTCCAATAATGATAAATGAGAACTGTGACTTTGTTATACATTCCTGTCCATCTTTAAGGCACTCTGTCCTCCTGCTGCTTGGCCTTGGATTCAGGCACAGGTGCAAGAAACGTGGCACAGCAGGACTGGTTGGCGAATTGAAAAAAGGGCTTCAGGAAACTGGAAATACTAGAGAGATCACCAAGGGAGGAGTTTGGGAAACAGCCCTGTAAAGTTGTTTACTAAACCTTGATTTCACCCCCTGAGTTGGGTAGGCATGGGTTTGATACTAAGTAGAATACCAAAGACTTTGAGAACTGAACGGTGGAATTGACTACTGCCCAAGCCCAGAGTTACCCTCTGGATGGAGCACATGCAAGAGAGATCCAAAGAGCACTGCACAGGTCTTGAAAATGGAACTGATATTGAAACCAGGGCCCACAGGTGGCTGGTCAGAAACTGTGGCCTGAACCCAGCTGGATTGATACCTGCCTAAACAAAAATGTCAGCGTTCTTCATAGGCTTTAAATGAGGCTCAGTTTCATAATGTATGTTCAAGAGGCCCATGATACAACCTAAAACTACTTGTTATACAAAGAACCTGGAAAATCTCAACTTGTAAGGAAAATACTTTTTAAAATTTTTATCACTGGATTTTATTATAGAGATGTGGGGTACAAGTCAGGATTAGGTGCACGAGTGGGCTTCGTGCAGGTGAAGTGTGGGCCTCCGACTAGTCCTTACTTCCCCTGGCTGAGGACCAGATATGCTTTGTGTTGTTACGTGCTCCCCATCTCCCTTCCCTGGCAGTGTCCTGCTACTTCAATCCTTCCCTCGTGCTATTTTGGTTAATGTTCAGGTCCTTATGAGCGAGCACATGTCAGTTCTTTGTTTCTGTGATAGATCACTAAGTATCGGCTCCAGCTCCATCCAATTTGAGGAAAAGACATTTGACAGATACTAACACTGAGATGACACAAATGTTAGAATTATCAGACAAATATTTTAAGCAGCCATTATAAAAATGCTCTAGTAAATAAGAGTAAACACTAGAAACAAATGGAAAGATACGCTATCTCAGCAAAGAGAATGAAGATACGTATAAAGAAGAATCAAATGGAAATTTTACAATTGAAAAGTAAAATAACCAAAATAAAAAGTCACTGGATGGACTAGTAGCAGAAGGGAGATGACAAAAGAAAGAGTGAATTTGAAGCTAAGTCAGTGGGTGCTTGTTCAACCTGAACAGCAGAGATAAAAACGAGGAGAAGACAATGGGCAAAGCCTCAGTATTGACCTGTAGGATCAAATAAAAAAGGCCAACATCTGTGTCATCACTGTCCTGACGGGAGAGAGAGTGGGGTACAAAAAAACATGTATTTTAAGAAATAATGGCTGAAAACTTCCCCAGTCTGGCAAAAGAAATAACCCTATAAATCCAAGAAGGTCAGTTAAGCCTACAGATAAATGCAAATGAACCCATACCCGGACACATCATAAGAATACTGCTGAAAACTAAAGACGAAGACTTACAAATGGCCCTAGAGAAGAGATGCATTGGGGTGACTGTGGGTTCTTCATCAGAGACTATGGAGGCCACAAGGAGAATGGAACAACGTTTTTAGAGTGCCAACAGAGAGACCTCAGAATCCAAACTCCTGTATCCAGCAAAAGTCATATAGGAACAAAGGCCAGAAATAAAGATATTCGCAGATGAACTAAAACGAAGAGAATTCACTGGCAACAATATTTTCTAAAAGAATTGCTAAAGGAATTTTTTTCAGAGAAGAGAAATGATACCAGATAGAATTTGGGACATCAGGGATTAAGAAAGAACAACAGAAATGGTAAATATAATATTCTTCTCTTCTTATGTTCTTTGAAATACATTGGATAGTTAAAGCAAAATGTGTAACAGTGTCTGTTGAGATTGTAAAGGTAGGTAGACGTCATATGCAAGACAACTATAATATGCAGGCAGATAGGGTTTCTGTATTCCACTTGAAGTAATAAAATGCAGATTCTGAGTAGACCATGAAAAGTTAGGTATATTTTAAACTCTAAGAGCAAGAACTAAGACTCAGATACAAAGAGATAGTTAACAATGTACTACATAGATAAAATAGGATCATTGAAAAGAAGGTAGAAAATGGGAGATAGGAACAAAAACCCAGAAGGAACAAATACAGGCATGCCTCGTCTTATGGCACTTTTCTTATTGTGCTTCTTAGATATTGTGTTTTTCACATATTGAAGAATTATGACAATTCTGCATCCAGCAAGTCTGTCAGCACCTTTTTTCCAGTAGCATGTGCTTACTTTGTGTCCCTGTGTCACATTTTGGTCATTCTTGTAATATTTCAAACTTTTCATTTTTATTGTATATATCATGGTGATCTGTGATCAATGATTTTTGATGTCACTATTGTAATTGTAATTGTTTTGGGTGCCTCAAACCATGCCTATAAAATACACTGAACTTGGTTGATAAATGTTGTGTGTGTTCTGGCTGCTCCACCCACCAGCGGTTTTCTTTCTCTTTTTCTCTCTCTCTCCTTGGACATCACGATTCTCTGAGATGTGACAATATTTAGATTAGGACATTTATTAACCCTACAATGACCTCTAAGTGTTCAAGTGAAAGGAAGAGTCACACGTCTGTCACTGAGAATCAAAGCTAGAAATGAATAAACATAGGGAAGCATGTCAAAAACTTGGACAGGCTGAAAGCTAGGCCTCTTGTGTCAAACAGCCAAGTTGCAAATGCAAAGGAAAAGTTCTTGAAGAAAATTAAAAATGCTACTCCCATGGACACACAAATGATAAGAAAGTGAAACAGCCTTATTGTGGATATAGAGAAAGGCTGGGTAAAATGTCACCCAGCCCCAACATTTCCATAAGCCAA